GGTTAGCCCATGTAAAAGAACCCTTGGCAGTTCAAATTTAAAGAGTAGGCCACATGGTGGTATCACGGCAAAATATCCCGATAGCGTACTGCACGTTATGACTGTGTCATATGCTCATCTTAATTGGCCCTGTGGGTGCAGAACAATAAAATGTTTAATCCCCATTTCATTTCATTTTTTGTTTTTTTTTTACCTGTACATCAAATGTTGGCACCAACTAATTAAGTAATATTGGAATTAAGATCAGGAATCACAGTTGGGTGGGGAAGGTTAAGTGCCGTACGTGGATGGGACCCCAGATTTTGATTCAAGCCCCACTTACATTTCCAAGCTTCTAGATCCGTCACTGGCCACGCCGTGACAAAACTTAAAATATTGTCTGTTCATTACCGAAGGAATGCAAGGGCGTGGTGACCACCAATCTGTTTAAAATACAAATCTATATTTCTTTTCGGTTTTTTTATACTTTCAATGGCCTACACTTCATGAAGATCTAACCGGTTGTTGCGGAAGGTCGCGTCACGGGTCATATGAGCTGCTTTTGACCCTATGGCGTCAGACATTGATTAATCAATCAGCATTGATGTTTCTAGTGGTTTACCCACAGTTCCGTTTACTGCACGCTAAGAACACGCCGTAATAGACCGTTTCGTTAGTTAATCCCTTACATCATCCAGAACTTGGGTTATATAACTCTTCCAGATCCTAGTGTAGTGAAGACAAGTAAAACGAAATTTTGAACTATAAAAAAAGAAACAAAATAGGATCTACATTTCAATCAGATTGGGTGATCACTGATTTTGCAGGAGGATCGTGATGGGAACTCAATCGAATTGCTCTAAACCAATATTACACAAAGATTGCCTTCTATCAACCTCTTCACTTAGCCATCAATGGAATGACGTGTCAGACCAATGACGACCCCTACCCCAACCCCCCAAAAAACAACATAATATGGAAATGACTATAAAATATATATTTTTCTTGTTTTAAAGGAAAAATCATTTTATACAATTATACATCAAAAAGTCATATATAAAAAAAATCAATTTCTATTGGCCCTTTTCTTGAAACATCTCCAACAATCAACTATTTCGATTAGAATTTGTCAGTTAAAGTTACAAATAAAACATCTATTAAGTATATATATATATAATTCAACATGCACCATCAGTTTTCGAAAAGCCGTTTTATTTTGCTTTCTCTGAATTTTTAAAAATTTTATTTCAGTTCTTAACAAGGCTTACTACATCATCAAAACATGACTAGTAAATACCAGGCTTAGTATGTGATTACAATTTTACCTTCTTTTTTTATATTTTATTCCAGTTTTAAAGGCTCAATACCACTCTTGTTGTAACTGAATAATATGTCCCAATCTTTATTCTGGTCAACAAATTGTACAATTTTACAATATTCCAATTAATTGATGATACAAATTTGAAACAAGGCTATTTTTTATTTTTTGGAGCTGTCAAGCCAGCAAGAGTGTTATTGTCCCTTTAACAAGGATACTGAATCTGATTAAAATACAGATCTATATTTCGTTTCGCTTTTTATACTTTTGATGGCCTACACTACATGAAGATCTGACCAGTTGTAGTGGAAGGTCGCATCAGAGGTCATATGACATTTGATTAAGCAATCAGCGTAGATGTTTCTAGTGTGTTACCCACAGTTCTGTGCACCTCAAGCCAAAAACTTGTGGTAACAGACTGTTTCATTGGCTAATCCCTCACCTCATTCAGAGTAGTATAGACAATTTTAAATCGAAATTTTGAACTATAAAAAATGAAACGAAATAGGATTTGTGTTTTAATCAGATTGCAAGGTACTAGAACATCAGCAAAATATGACTGGCTAATTACCACAACGCATAATAAATTTCATCAATTGACCACCAGAGGTCACAGTTAGACAAATTTTTATTTTATAAGTTAATTGCATAGATATTTGTTAGCTTAATATCTGCGACAATATAAATAATAAACATAAACAATTCTAATATTATACCACACTATAGTCATTATCAATCTACTGTGATTAGGTGTCAAGAGTTATTCCCCTTTGCTACATTATACCTCTAATGGTAGGTACTATTATGAAACTAACTATAAATGAGAGAATATACTTTGTATTTGGTTGATGAATTTATATGACAATATTAAATATTACAATTACAAATATATGTCTATTTGATGTCAGTACCATATATGTTAGATGTGGGTTATTTTTTATCAATGAGTGGATATGTTATCAATTATAAGTAAAGTTAATATTTCATTTCAATAAATGAATATGTTATTAATTATAGTTAATATTTCATGTCAATAAATGAATGTTATTAATTATAGTTAATATCTCATTTCAATAAATGAATAAGTTATTGATTATAGTTAATATTACATTTCAATAAATGAATATATTATTAATTATAACTATACAATGAATGAAGGTATAATGAAATATAATATTAAATACCGGTATATATATTTAGGGAATATATTTTTGACAATGTATAATATTATTTTTTAGAGACAATGTATTAAGGTGGTAAAATTATATTTATATAAAATGTCTAGAGACTTAAGCCTTAATCAATGAGCACATTTCAGTTCTAGACCTTTTAGCTGATATCGTATATAAAGCTTCACATTGCAAAAGTAGCAATCTTGTCTGCGATATTACCCAAGGTGGAAGCAGACATAAAACCCTACAAAAGAACAATCAAAAGCAGCGATCTACATTCACTTTCTAGCTTGCGGCAATAAAAAAAATTTGCTTCTGTTATCGGCCCAAAATCAGAAACTACCGATAGCATTGATTATTACATCACATGACAAGGCTTAATGCGAGAATTTCAAATTTTCTTAGAAAGTCAAAACATAATTATTTCTATGTCTTTTGCTCAATAGGATATCAAATCACTATTATACGATCATGGGCATTATTTCCCACCCTTAAAAATCTATGACACAGGAAATAACAATACAATTACCTCCCCTGTTTTGCTATTGACAGTATGGGGCAGCCATTTTCCAACGTTAGAATTTGAAGTTAAAAATGATATTTTTGCCAATTTCTCAGCTGGCAATAGCGAATTATAGGATTAATAGAATTATTCTTTAACAAGGTAGGACTGTTTATGAATACCATCTATTATAAGGCTTTATTTTAATACATTTTAAAAATATAACTTGAAAATTTGCAATTTCCGCTTTAAATAATCGGACAAGGCAAGTAAAGGAGGTTGATGAGTCTGACTCTAGACTATCCTCTTATAATACGCAATATTAAAGAGACAATCACAATAAATAAATAATTGGGTATAAAAACAGGTCAATATAAAGAGTAATTAAAGAGACAATTTGTTTAAAATAACTCAGCAGTGAAGAGAAAACAGCAGGATTCTCCAATCTCAAAAATCTATTAAGCCGAGTAATCCAGTTGGATTGAAAGCTTCCTTATATTTGTGGTTTTAGCCTAATCACTTGGTATATTTACTGGATTGCCGTACAATAAGATTAACAAACAATTAAATCGTGGCTTCAAATCAGGCAGAATATGACACTTAAGGCAGTTCTTCAAGAACAGAGGTCATATTCACTCATGGTGTATCTTTAGCTCAATTAGCTCTTCTATAATGCATCTTTAGCTCGATTTGCTCTTACGTAATGCATCTTTATCTCAATTAGCTCTTCCATAATGCATCTTTAACTCAATTAGCTCTTCCATAATGCATCTTTACCTTGATTAGCTCTTCCATAATGCATCTTTAGCTCGATTAGCTCTTATGTTATGCATCTTAAGCTCAATTAGCTCTTCCGTAATGTATCTTTAGCTCAATTAGCTCTTACATAATGCATATTTAGCTCTTATGTATCTTTAGCTCGATTAGCTCTTATGTAATGCATCTTTAGCTCAATTAGCTCATACTTAATGCATCTTTCGCTCTTACATAATACATCTTTAAATGATCGCGAAACAGCCGAGAGTCTGTGTTTCTCGTTTATATCTATAAGCAGCACTGGATGGACAGTTATTACATACATATTATAAGAGATATACAAAAACATATCAATAAATCATTAAATACTAAACAAACTATTTACACTATTATAATCAGAAATCATAAAATACAACACATAACAAATATGGTTAATAAATTATTGCAAATATTTTACACAAAATTATGCTGTTAATTAAATAGGCATTTATTTGTTCGAATTAGCTTATAACAATAGATGTTTACTGATAATCAGTTTCAAAATAAAATAACATTTATTTATCTTTTCAACTTGTTATTGTTAGCCCTTTATAGTAGACCACTTCATCGAAATGCCTGAACTGTCGCAAAAATACTGCTGCCTCTTGCACCTCATGTGAATCGTTGTGAAATGTTTAAGGTCGGTATTTCGATGACTCTAGCAGTTGGAGGTGGTCTAATGTTTAAGGATCATATACCACTGTGTGGGTATTTCGATGACTCTAGGGGTTTGAGGTGGTCTAGGGAGCAGGAGAGACTCATGCGATTTTGAAAAAATGAGCTAAATATTTCTCTAATTTGGTTCAGGGAACTGGGGTAGTCAAAGGGTTAATTAGGTATTTCGATGACTCTAGCAGTTTGTGGCGGTCTAGGGAGCAGGAGACTCATGCGATTTTGAAAAAATGAGCTAAATATTTCTCTAATTCAGTTCAGGGAACTGGGGTAGTGAAAGGGTTAATTAGCACTCCATAATCACATGCAGGATAGTTTCTATCGTATCATCAGAAAAACAGGAAGTCAAATATCATTTTCTTACATACAGAAACAACAGCAGTAGTATGTCTAAATTCTAACAGAATTCAAGAAAACAATCTTAAACATAAAACATAATATTAATTAACATAAGCCAACAAAACAATTTACTTCCTATTTCAGCGATATGAAATATTAATTAATAAGCCAACAGGAAACTTTATTTCCTATTTCAGTAGTAAGAAATATTAAATACTTTATTTCCTATTTCAGTAGAAAAAAATATTAATTACTAAGTCAACAAGAAAATTTACTTTCTTCATACTTCACTAATAATTCACAAACACAACTAGGCTTAATCTTTAATACAAAATGATCAATTCTGTTTGTTAAATCAACAAAAATCAAGTAAGAGGACCGTATAATCTTCCATTTTTCACCACTCCTATATAATTGATCAATTCTCTTCGTTAAATCCATAGATACCAACGATCAATTCTCTTCATTAAATCATGGATAAATATATTAATAGGTCGATATCCTTCTCAGAACAAGAACCAATTCTTTATCCCTCCTAATCAGCCAACAAGCAGAATCCATCATGGATATAATTTATGCTGTTGATCGTTATTTGTGGGATGTTTATTCTCTTGTCAACTACAATACTGTGAAAGTTGAAACTCTATTAGGAATAGTAGTCCAAGATATCTCAATTCTGTTCAGCCATGTCTCATTTTAAATCTGATTAAGAGAGAGAGAGAAACTAAGTCATTTTGGGACTAACATATGCTTTAATTTTATTTCAATAATTCACTTGCGCATAGAGGTCTTTAGCAGTGGGAGGAAACCGGAGGACCCGGAGAAAACACACGAAGTTGGAAAATCTGACTGAATCCAAGCTGGGAGAATTATTGTAATATTGTGTAATTTATTTGTAACTGGGAGAGGGGTTTATATAGGATTTGCCTGTTCCCTAATCCCTTAAGTTTCTGAATAAATATCGTTTATAAAAATAAAAGACTGTTGTTTTTGTTTTCTTAATCAATTTTGAACGTAGATTAAGCCATGAAATGTTGAAGATTGTCTGAACAAGAATGCAAATGACAACTTGGCAGCTTTAACATAACCTATTTGATCTAATTCGTAAAAGAGTCAACATTAACAAAATATACTAGGAATATATTTTTGAACACATTATGCAGATTATGTTATAAAGCGAAATTTATTCGGTTGGTGTTGACGTTAAGTTCGTGTTTCTGCGTATGGTCAGTTTAACTTCGCCGTCAGGTAGAAACTTGAGATGATTCCATGCCTCGTAATGTCGCATCGCTCTAAAATCCATGTCGTTAACTTGTAGAATCTGATCTCGTACTTGAAGCTGTCCACATTTCTCTGCTGGTCCACCTTTAAATATAAAATATCATAAATTAATATTGAATTGAGAGAGTTGGGGAGAAAGTGGCAGAGTATGAGAGAGATAATTATAAATTTACCCTTAAAGATCCTCTTGATAATTATAAATTTACCTTTAAAGATCCTCTTGATAATTATAAATTTACCTTTAAAGATCCTCTTGATAATAATAAATCTACCTTTATGGATCCTCTTGATAATAATAAATTTACCTTTAAATACCCTCTTGATAATCATAAATTTACCTTTAAAGATCCTCTTGATAATTATAAATTTACCTTTAAAGATCCTCTTGATAATTATAAATTTACCTTTAAAGATCCTCTTGATAATAAATGGACCTTTAAAGATCCTCTAAATAATAAATCTTCCTTTAAAGATCCTCTAAATAATAAATCTTCCTTTAAAGATCCTCTAAATAATAAATCTTCCTTTAAAGATCCTCTAAATAATAAATCTACCTTTAAAGATCCTCTAAATAATAATAATTTGACCTTTAAAGATCCTCTTGATAATAATAAATCTACCCTTAAAGATCCTCCTGATATTAATAAATCTACCTTTAAAGATCCTCCTGATATTAATAAATCTACCTTTAAAGATCCTCTTGATAATAATAAATCTACCCTTAAAGATCCTCCTGATATTAATAATTCTACCTTTAAAGATCCTCTTGATAATTATAAATTTACCTTTATGGATCCTCTTGTTAATAATAAATCTACCTTTATGGATCCTCTTGATTGATAATAATAAATTTACCTTTAAATACCCTCTTGATAATTATAAATTTACCTTTGAAAATCCTCTTGATAATTATAAATTTACCTTTGAAAATCCTCTTGATAATTATAAATTTACCTTTAAAGATCCTTTTGATTATTATTGGCATATCTCCTCTTGGTGATCCGATTCCACCTTCAAGACAGAACCCTACTCCTGTTACACCTTTCGTCATGACAACCTCTACTGGTTCACCTGTTGCGTAATCAGCGTAATTTGCTGCACTATAAGATGGTGTGGTGGGCGTAGTTGGGGTCATCGGAATAGTGGATGTTTTAACAGGTTCAGAATCTACAAGAAACAAGATTTACTGTATTATTGATCTGACAGGCTGGCCTAGAAATAATCAACTAGCACCTGACATTTTGAAATGAAATGAAACAGGGTTAAACGTCGTACTGTTCTGAACCAATGGGACCAATGAGAGAGAGAGAGAAATGGGGTTTCACATCCACTTGACACAAACTAGGTCATTTCGGGACTAAGACATGGTTCAATTTTATTTCAATAATTTGCTTGCGCGTAGGTGTCTGGGAGGAAACCGGAGAGCCCGGAGAAAACCCACGAGGTTGGACAGGCGACCCTTCTCCTTGTCACGTACAACCGGGGAATTGAAACCCCGCCAGTTGACGGGACCAATGAAGACGAACATGTCTCAAGAAGTGTGATATATATGAGATAAATTTGGCACAGATGGCACTCTTTTTCAAATTCTAACTGCCAAATGTTATTTACGTGCAAACCAATCTCCCATTGTAACGACTGCTGTCCTGCACCACTGACAAAGGGGAAACCATGCTGGAAAAATCTGGAGATCTTTCTCCGCCACTGGTGGGATCATATCAAGGACCCCCTGGTTAGCTAACCAGCGCTTTACTCATTGAACCACCACAGATCCCTCGTCAAACAAATCTCCAAACCATATAATACTCACACCTGGGATCCAAACCACGAAAGCAAGCCAGAGGTGACCGGTCAGCTAGAGCTCAAAGCACAAGACACCAATCACTCAATGGAAATGAAATGGGGTTTAACGTCCTACTGTTCTGCTCCGAACTGGGCTAATGAAGACGGGCATACGCCATACAGTGTGCTATGAGGGAAATTTTGCCCAGACAGCGGCACTACGGCCTACTCTTATATCGAATTCCAACTGCCAAGGGATCTTTTACGTGCACGCCAATGTGTACACGGGACCTCAGTTTTTCGTCCCATGCGAACGACAAGACAGCTTTCCTTGTCAGCCCCTCCGTCCTGCATCACTAACAAGGGAGAACGACGTCGGAAAATCTGGATGAACTTTCTCGGCCAATGCAGGGATCGAACACCCGACCTCCAGGCTAGTGAGCCAGCGTCTTACCCACTTAGCCACGTGATCCCCCCACTCAATGGAACCCCTCCTTGTCCTTCATTACTTACAAGCAATAAGAGAGAGAGAGAGAGAGAGAGAGAGAGAGAGAGAGAGAGAGAGAGAGAGATGAGATATGGGATTTAACGTCCACCCGACACAAACTAGCTCATTTCTGGACTAACACATGGTTCAATTTTATTTCATTAATTTGCTTACACATAGGAGTCTTTAGCAGTGGGAGGAAACCGGAGGACCCGGAGAAAACCCACGAGGTTAGACAGGCGACCCTACTCCTCGTCATGTACAGCTGGTGAATCAAAACCACACCAGTTGACTCAATGATAGACCTTATGATACAACATGCACATGCTAACCATTCGGCCATTCACACCCCCTACAAACAATAAACATAATTACTTACCTTTAGAAATGTTTAAAGACAAGTGTTTGGAGTTATCTCCCCTGGACAGTACTAGTACAACTGTTAGACATGGTGTTTCTAAAGCTTGTTGTATATCTTGTATAGTTCTATCATCTACAGATTTACCATTCACAGATAATAAACAATCTAATACATGTACTTTACCATCAACGCTTGCTAAACCATCTTCACTTAATCCTGATACCTGTAATATAATAATCTTATTTAAAATACAGATGTGACGTCATCCTTTGATGTTGGAGTACCATTATTTAAAATAATCGTACAGGCAATGTGCCAAGCGTAACTTGGTAAAATATTGAACTCGAGTGACGTGTTTCATTGCAAAGCATGTGCAAGTGTCTGTATTTTAAGTTGTTTAATGGTCTCGAGCTTAAGACATTGCGTAATATATTGTAAAAACTGTTGTTACAATATATTACTTAATGTTTCGCTCTCAACCATTAAACAATACATACTTAATCCTCATACCTGTTTATAATAATATACCTAATCCCGATACCTATCATACAATAATCTTATATACCTAATGGGGCATTATGGGAGATTGGATAAAGAGCTGATATTTCTTACTATAAGAGTAGAAAAGTTGATAACGTAAAGAGAATATGCCAAAAATTTCAGTCAGAATGCTCCACTGACTCTGAACTGAGATATTAGCGATTTAATTCTAGAGAGTGAGAGAAATGGGGTTTAACATCCACTCGATACAAACTAAGTCATTTTGGGACTAACATATGGTTCAATTTTACTTCAATAATTCGCTTGCGCCTTGGGATCTTTAGCAGTGGGAAGAAAACCCATGAGGTTGGATAGACAACCTACTCCTTGTCACATACAACATGGGAATAGAAACCACACCAGTTGTCTCAATGAAAGACCTTATGATACAGCGCGCACGTGCTAACCAATCGGCCATCCAACCCCCCAGTATGTTTAATCCTGATACCTTTAATAATACAATAATCTTTATAATTAAGAACTAAATACCTACAATACAATAATCTTAACTATTTTAACAAGATAAATGAAATGAAATGGGGGTTTAACATCCTACTGTTCTGCTCCTATACTGGGCAAATGAAGACGGGCATACGCCATACAGTGTGCTATGAGGGAAACTTTGCCTAGGCAGCGGCACTATGATTTGCTCTTATATCGAATTCCAACTGTCAAGGGATCTTTTACATGCACGCCAATGTATACACGGGTCCTCAATTTTTCATCCCATCCGAACAACTAGACAGCTGTCCCTGTCAGTATCTCCATCCTGCACCACTGACAAGGGAAAAACAGGTCGGAAAATCCCAATGAACTTTCTTGACCTATGCAGTGATCAAACACATGACCTCCAGGCCAGGCTAGTGAGCCAGCGTCTTACCCACTTATCCACCGTGACCCCCCTTAATCCTGTAATTACAGGTAATTTTAAGGACTAACAATTAAATTGTTCTCTCGATAATTTTGTCATGTAATCAAATGAGATGAATGGAACAATAATTGTTGAATGTCTAAAATCTCTGATGTGTTTTAAATGGTTTGAATCACCAGTAATATGTTGTTATCTTTTCTGTCATGAGTCATCTCCATATCAAATATTGATCTGAATCTCTTTCTAGCCACAAATTACTTCAACACAGTAGAACTAGAAGGGAGAGAGAGGGAGAGGGAGAGGGAGAGAGAGAGAGTAACATCCACTCGACACAAACTAGGTCATTTCGGCACTAACATATGGTTCAATTTTATTTCAATAATTCGATTGTGCGTAGGTGCCTTTAGCAGTGGGAGGAAAGTGGAGAACTCAGAGAAAGCCCACGAAATTGGACAGGTTACCCTACTCCTTGTCATGTACAACTGGGGGAATCGAAACCACACCAGTTGACTCAGTGACAGACCTTATGATATAACTCACATCCAACCTCCCCAGTGAATAAGAAAAATATAAATTAAAATAAAAATAGAACTTACGAGAATCTTGCCATGTGATCCTTTCTTCAATTCTAATCCAACTTTATCTGTTGGTTGGTTTCGATGTAATAGAGCTACAATAATTTGATCGTGGATTGAGCCCCCTGTTTTATCCATCGTTTGATTGGCTAGATCAACCAGTCTTTTCAGTTCCTCTGGTTCAATCAGAGAAATGTTCGAAAAATCGAGAAACTCGAAGGAAGTGTTGGCTTTACCTTCTAGAACACTAGAATCTTTATCGTTTGATAAGAACGACCAGTCTCTTTTACTTGATGATACTTTGAAAGCCTCGTTGGTTATATTGGGTCCGTTGCTCGTTATTGATATATTTACGTATTCACTGGTATCTAGTAGCGTGCTTACATTTGAAGTGTCAGATTTAATCGAGCTATCGATATCGATATTCTTTGTCACTAACTGCTGTGTTCCTTGACCTCGTGCTGGAGTCGATGAAAATATTTTGGCTGATTCTTCGTTGTTTTGGTCAGTACTGGGCAATGATTGCTGGAAACTTGAAACCTGATTGGATGAAGTAGTAGAGTTATTTGTTATATTTGATATATCTGACATGTTGCTCTGCCTTTCCGAAACAGGGGAGACAACTACAGGCTTAGCAGAAAATAAATTTTCATTTGAGTCTAATAAATCGTTTTTGCCATCGATCTGAACATTATTTACATTGGTGCTAACAGAGTCATTTGTGATATCAACATTAATGGCAGAATTTTTTGTGACGCGTTGATCGGCGGCCCCCATGGTGTCGTAGGCTGATACAACACTTAGATCTTCATGCTCAGGTGCACATGCAGAATTTGACATATAATTATTTTCCACAAAATCCAAAGGATCAACGCTGCTACCTTCGGTTTCTGTGGTAACAAGAGTATCAGTATTGCTACTCATAGTTTCCGTGGCAACTAAGGTATCAACATTACTGTTTATAGTTTCGTTATTATCAAAACCGTTCACATTTTTCTGGTATTCATTTTTATCGACACGGATCACAGAACTACTTTCAATTTCATTGTTTACGGTTATTGCACTTTGATTGTCGGGTAATTTATCAGGGGAGATTACTCCAATCATATTAGGAACAGACGACACATTCGTTACAGTCTCTATTTCAATTTCTTCTTCTTCTTGCATGAAAGAATTATCAGTAACCAGATCTGGTTTTGGTAAATCGTCCATCTTCAATGTTGGGATTAAATCATTTGACATAAATTCAACTAAATCTGGGGGGTCTTCAATGCTTCCCATCATTGATACAGGAGGAGGAATTGACATCATTGGCGGGGGAGGGGAGGAGGGAAGTGGTGGAGGAGGGGCATCAGGTAATGGGGGAGGAGAGGGAGATTTCTCGCTGTCGGCAGTTTCAGGGACTGATATGTTGTTCTGAACAATAATATGATCATTTTGAAGATTGTTTGACAATTCAGATGGGCATTGACCACCATCAACAACATCATTAATAATATCTGGTTTGCTTTGATTCACTTCGGCAGAAACAGGAGAAAAAGATTCTTCGACTTCCCTGTCAACAATTTCCATTTCATGATTACATTCTATAGTTTCCTTATTTCCAACTTCTTCTGAAATACCATTCTCCTCTGACTGGATTTCTCCATTTGCCAATGAAGTCAAAAAAGAGTCTTTAGCACTATCGATTACTTTTTCTACCAGAGCAGCTGCAAAAGGTTCCACCACACTTTCTGACAGAAGGTTCTGATCCTCATTCACTTCATCTCCCTCCTCAGCAGATTGATAATCAACGAGTGAACTTTCCACATCTTTATTCTCCAAAACATCTCCATGACCAGGTTCTTTATCACCAGCTTTTTCAGAGTGAAGCTGTTGCATCTCTGTTGCTGCTGCTTCTTGGTTAGTTTCATCTTGAACCTTTGATGCATCTTCTTGATTTTCTGGTGGTGATGACTCAACCATCACTACTTTTTCAACTTGGATATCATCAAGGATCACTGGTGTGTTGTTATCGATCAGTGATTCTTTCTCAGTGACCTGCTGGGAATATTCTGGTTCGGAAACAATTTTGGTTTTTGGTTCAATATGCACAACAGTAGCAGCAACTATACCATCTTGGTTACCAGAATCCAGATTCAAGAGGCTGTCAAACTGGTCAGTTAGTGACTTCCTTTTTTCTTCATCGGTAGATTTAGATTTAGGGCTGACATATTCAACCTTCATTTCAGACGAAGAAGGTGATTCTTTTGAGAGCAAATTGTCCAAATCTGACTTAGTGCCGGAGACAAGTTCTGGTGATTTAGTGCTTTGTTTTGGTGAAGTGAGAGATTGCGAAGGTTTACCAGGTGATTGGTAAACAAGGTGTGGTTTTGTGCTTACAACATTAGACGGTGAAGACGTACATTCAACATTGGACATGCTACTGGAGGACTCCTTACCTGCGAACCATGATTGCTGACTTGGTTTCTTGCCCTTAGATTCGGATGGGAGATATGAGGGAGCTGTTAATTTTACTGTTGATTTGATTTCAACATTCTGATTTTGAGGACTGCCTTTGGGAGCTAGAGCCCTGTTCAACTTAACAGGATTGATTTTGGCAGGTTTTTCTGAAAGGTCTTGGAAAAATGGGCTACTGGGGGATAATGGTGATTGGGTGGATGAAGATGTTCTTCTCCTGGGGGCGGACAGATTTTCTTCTACAGATTGTTTCCTAATTTCCGTCCTTGTTATCTCAGTTGTGTTGTCTGTGTTGGCAATCTTCATAGAATAGGCACGGTTCTGATCTGTGGCTAAATCTCCCTTATTTGATACGGTTGTCGTGAAAACCATGTGTGGAGAATGTTTATCCTGTGCATAAGATCGTGATTTAACTTCAGGGGCTTTGCGTTCATCTTGAAAGAAGACATCCCGATCGGGAGAAGTTGATCTTATGGAAGCTGTGGAGTGTTCAGAACTGGAAGAGGTTCTACGTGATGTAATTGGTGGAGCAGCAGGTTTGGCTAAATCGGTCTGTCTTTGAATTTCAGTTTCAAACTTTTTCAACTTGTCTGTTAGTTTGAGTGTTTCAGCACCAGGTGATTTCTCTTTCTGTCGTGTTGAAACTGCAGACTCTTGGGGAACTTCAGGGACAGGTTTAGGAGCTCGTAATTTAGGTTTAGGTGCCACTGGAGGTGGACTTTTCACAGATTGAGGAAGAGTGTCTTCATCTATTTCTTTCCCCCAAGTTGCAGCAATAATTTTACTCTCGGCTCTTGATTTAGGTATATCGATTCCAAGTTTGGATTCTTTGGATTCCTTGCCCACAAAAATTTGGGTAGCATGAACTTTTGTGGTTTCTTGCCTAGGAGAAGTTTTGGGAGAGACTCTTGGCTTTGAATCTGTTTCATCCAACCTTGGTGACCGAGGTGAAAGACTGGGTGTACTGTCTGCAGATGATAAATCAGTCTTAATTGCGATTTCTTCCTCATGCCCGTTTTTAGCACTGGATGAAAGTATGTCAGTATTAACCTTTTTCACAGAGTCAATATTTTCTCCCGGTGTGTTAGAAATGGAAGCACCATTAGTGGTTCCGTTAGTAGCAGGGGTTGACGGGGCATCAGGGGCATTCTTATCGAAGGGAAATTCCACATGAGTTTCAGATTGTTTATCTATCGAAACTTTACGATACGTTGGTGCCGCCACAGGCGAGAATTTACCCTCTTTTATCACAGCTAATCCTTCTGCAAAAGACTTGGCAGTTGTTGGAGAACTTTGTGCTCCAAGACTTGAGAATGGTTTAGGGGAAAGACGAACACCATATTTAGTAAATCCAGTGTTTGCAGGAGATCCTGGTGAAAGCTCCATACTATCGTCTAGTGTTGTATCAGTGTCAATTGTTAACGGACCTGAAAAGAGAAAAGATCTTTAAATCTATAGCAACAGTAAAGATAGGTTGTCAGGCAGCGAAACATACGCCAACATCCGCTAAGTCGTCTGGGCAGTCAACAAGTGTTGTAGCATATGTTTTCTTCTGTCAGTAAAGAGAACATTTAGGACACATGAAAATCTGATTACGAATAATAACCCATGAAGTAATTATCGGAAATCATTGAAAATGAAAAGGATTCTTTGTCTCATGACCTTAAGCGCTGTGTATAAATCTAAAGTCAATCGAATATTAACTTCAGCCTGTGGAGCGTCCACAAGCAATTGTGGATGCTGTTTTTTATAGTTCAAAATTTCGTTTTACTTTTCTTTACTACACTAGGATATGGAAGAGTTCTTATATTACCGCCATTCTGGTTGAACTACAAATCTAGTCCTAACTCAATTTTGATAATAAAAAAAAGTGAGTTACTAGGTTTTGGCTTTTGACGGGAGATCTCTCTATCTCTCTCTCCTTAATGTAGAACATTAAATCCTATATCCATATAGGCATATCACATGTTAATCTCAAAATGGAACACATATCTGGTTTTAAACCTGCTAAACCACACTTTCATATCTCTCCCTCTCTCTTTCATTTTTTTCTTAAATCTAAGAATAAAATGCCAAGTGAGTTGAACCCCATTCACGAATTATTTACATGTATTTTGTTGATTTAAAAAGAAAGTAATTTGTGACAAAGAAATCTAAAATAAATATTGACACACCATGTCTATATTGACGGAACAACGACAATTAAACATTTACTAAACGTTTTACAACCACAAAAATTATTCATTTAACTTTCGTCTTGACCTGGTATTCAAAAGAAAGGGGTCCATTAGGTGCTGTGTTATTTTATGGCGTTTGTCTAATTTTTGTTATATTTCTGATACATCATGGGTTGTTTGCTGTTCTGACATGTTGATGAAAGTAGCGGAACGTTTGTTTTCTGTTAAAAATAACATATTGAATTCCAATGATCTGATTTCGATGGAGCAAGTTCTCTAGGACTAAATGTTCATTTTGATAGGACATGAAATAGAGTTGAATGTCCTACTGTTCTGCTCTGACTGGGCTAATGAGCTAATGAAGATGGGCATATGCCATACAGTGTGCTATGAGGGAAATTTTGCCCGGGCAGCAGCACTCTGGCCTACTCTTATATCGAATTCCAACTGCCCCGCGATCTTTTATGTGTACGCCAATGTATTAATGGGTCCTTGGTTTTTTGTCCCATCCCAAAAACTATTCAGCTGTCCTTGTCAGGCCCTCCGTCCTGCATCACTGACAAGAGGAACCATGCCGGAAAATCACAATGAACTTCCGCGGCCTATGCAGGGATCGAACACACGACCTCCAGGCTAGCGAGCCAGCATCTTACCCACTTAGCCACTGTGGCTCACCATTTTGATAGAAGTTATTAGTTTTATACAGGTAGTTTTGTTTCTGATGTTAATAACTGACCGTTCCATTTTCTGGGCAAAATTACCTTCATAGCAATAAAATGAAATGGGGTAAATTTTGCTCCGACAGCAGCACTATGGCATACTCTTTCGAATTCCAACTGCCAAGGGATCTTTTACGTGCACGCCAATGTGTACACAGGACCTCAGTTCTTCCTACCAGACCAGGCCTTCTGTTCCCAACCACTGATAAGTCGGAACCATGCTGAAAAATCCTGATGAATTTTCTCGGCCAACACCGCGATCGAACATGGGAGTCACAGCAGCTTCCGTCCTTCATTGCACAATGCATGATTTATGCCCCTTCTTAGCCCCTGTTGGTTTAAGTCGGAGAGGGAGAGAGAGAAATGGGGTTTAACGTCCACTCGACACAAACTAGGTCATTTCGGGACTAACACATGGTTAATTTTATTTCAGTAATTGCTTGCACGTAGGTGTCTTTAGCAGTGGGAGGTAACCGGAGGACCTGTAGAAAACCCACAAGGTTGCACAGACGACACTATTCCTTGTCACGTACAACTGGTGAATCAAAACCACGCCAGTTGACTCAATGACAGACCTTATGATACAGCACGCACATGCTAACCATTCGGCCATTCAACCCCCCTCATAAAATGTCAATGGAACATGAAACCCAAATTTCATTCCACTCCATAAAGTTGACCATAAAAATTATAACAAAAGTCTATGAACACAGAAAGCATTCCTTTACCTAAAGAAATCTAATTGACACAAACGATATTTCAAATGTCCCGTTTAACTTGAGAATGTATTTCTACGGCCATTGTTGACACAACATCAATTAAAGTTCTACTGTTTGACGACTTATTTACATTTTAACTGTCACCTTGAAATATTTTAACACAGTATAAAATGGCAGAAATCATGCACTTCAAAAACACAAATTTTAATCAATACAACAAAAACACCATGTGGGATACTCACGTACAAAAATGATTTAAAAACTAGAAGCATACACTGAGTGTTTTATAGGGGAAGCAGAAAAATAATGTCATTGAGTGGAAAAATACAGTTACACCTTCCTGGGTTCAAATTCTGTATGTAAACAATACTGAGATTTTTTCAGCCATGTTCTCATATGTCAGGAGGGGTGGCTGATTGGTCGAATGGTTTACCGCATGCTCTTTAGATCATAAGGCCTGTCATCGAGTCAAGTGGTGTGGTTTCGATTCCCCCGTTGTAGGTGACAAGGAGTAAGGTCACCTGTCCAACCCCGTGGTGTGGTTTCGATTCCCTGCTTGTACATGACAAAGAGTAGGATCGCCTGGAGTGGTTTCGATTCCCCCACTTGTATGTGACAAGGAGTAGCATCGCCTGTCCAACCTTGTGGCTTTTCCACGGGTACCCTGGTTTCCTCCTGCGTGTAAGCGAATTATTAAAATGAAATTGAACCATATGTTAGTCTGAAGATGACCTAGTTTGTGTCGAGTGGCTGTCTCTCTCTCATTTGTCAGGAATTGTGCCAACAGGACTTTTAGTAAAAGTGTTACCTAGTTATTTGGATAGGACAAAAGTGACGTTCTGTTCGAAATAACCCTTGACAACTGGAAAATTCGACAATGAAATGAAATAGAGTTTAATGTCCTACTGTTCTCCTCCGAACTGGGTTAATGAAGACGGGCATATGCCATACAGTGTGCTATGAAGGAAATTTTGCCCGGACAGCGGCACTACAGCCTACTCTTATATCGAATTCGAACTGTCAAGGGATCTTTTACGTGCACGCCAATCTGTACACAGGACCTCGGTTTTTTGCACCATCCGAACGACGAGACAGCTGTCCTCGTTGGACCCTCCATCCTGCATCACTGACAAGGGGGGGAACCATGCCGGAAAATCTGGATGTACTTTCTCGGCCAATGCAGGGATCGAACACCCGAACTCCAGGCTAGCGAGTCAACTTTTTACACACTTAGCCACTGTGATCCAAATTCGACAATGAGTAGGTGACAAATAACACCGCTATCTCGGTAATATTATTCTCTCTTGGGACCAGAGAAGAAAGAAAAAAGGTTTAACGTCCTACTTTTCTGCACCAACTGGGCTAATGAAGACAGTCATGCGCCATGCTGTGTGCTATGAGGAGAATTTTGCCCGGACAGCGGCACTACGGCCTACTCTTATATCGAATTCTAACTGTCCAGAGAAGAAAAACTCAACCATATTTTTTATTCATGCACATTTCCATTATTCAATGAAATTTTCGAAAAAATACAATGTTGGTCTTAAAATAACCAAAGTATTATTATTATTATACAATTCCTCAACTTCTACAATTTATTTAAATACTAAAATAATTTAGGTGTTTATTTTTAAAAGAATCTGTGTGAGTTTCATATGACTCATTGGCTCATCATAGCAAGAAGAATTCATGAAGTCTTAACCATCTCTACACACTGCCAGGAATTCAATCGTTTAACAAATATTGGAAAGAAAGATTTTAAAAGAATGTAACATTAAGTTCTAACATGCAGATTCATGGCTCCATAAATCTAACTACCTACAGAGTAAACATATTAACATCTGTTTCTTGCGGAACTTCTACACATTATAGAATTCATCATCCAAGGTTTTAAAAATTGATTCAATTAGAAATTCTTAATTCAGAAAAAAAAACGTTTAACTAAATTTACTTCTTCATGACTGTAAACCCCATCTTGTAGTCCCACTTGAAATTTAATTAACGCGCAATTATTATATTCTCTAAATGAGGTAAAAACACATGTCCGACTACTAAACGGGATGTTAAATATTCTAGAAGCATAACATCTGAGTTTTATTATGAATCTGTAATTTATATAAAACAGTTATTTCACTATTTAGGACAGCACTTAAGTTTATTCATTTCATTCAAGAAAAAGTTCAGAAATAATTTAATGCTATATATTATTTAAAAGGTTTGTATTTCTTCTCAGCTGTAATTATAAGTTTATTTCAGAATAAGTGATTTAACTAATTTCCAAGCCATGAATGTGTAGGCAGGCTATTAAATAATGTATAAATATTTGCTGGCACAGTTTCTTACTAAATAATTTTCCTGAATACTTTAGAAATAATTCAAAGAGAGAGAGAGAGAGAGAGAGAGAGAGAGGGAGGAAGGAAACCGGAGTATCTGGAGAAAACCCACAAGGTTGGACAGGCGACCCGACCCTACTTCTTGTCACCAGAAATTAAATGCTTGTAAATTGGACACTCATTATCAAAATTGAATGGTCAGCTTTAAACTGGAGACAAGTACAAATTAGATGATTTTGGGTGATTTTAAATGAATTTTACAAATTTTTAATCAAAGATTTGATATTAAACGAATGTGAAAGAAATTAGTGCTAAATACACAAGATTAAATGATACCCAGGTTACAGTGAGAAGATGAACATACCTGACCAGTGGTAGAACCTAGTTTTAAAGTATCAAGTTGGACTGATGGTAGTATAATAATGGTTACTATGGTATTGATATGGTTACTAGGGAGATTAGTATAAGGGTACCATATGTTATTTAAAGTGCATGTTTTATGTGTGGTATCTTCCTGTATCTATATATCCTTCAAACATCAATTTCATCAGGTCATTAGGTTTTAACACTCGGTTCTCACATTCACATCCGAACTCTCCATCTTAGTTATCGGTGCCTTACATAAGGCTAAGTTTTTGTGTGATTATTGCTTTTAGAGCATCTATTGCACACTACAATACTGTGAACATGGAATATCTAAAAATGGTTAAATTCTGTTCAGAGAGAGAGAAATGGGGTTAAACATCCATTCAACACAAACTACGTTATTTCGAGACTAACTTATGATTCAATTTTATTTCAATAATTGGCTTGCTCGTAGGGGTCTTTAGCAGTGGGAGGACCCGGAAAAAACCATGAGGTTGGACAGGCGACCCAAATCGAAACCACAGCAGTTGACCCAATGCCAGATCTTACGATACAGCGTGCATACGTTGACCATTCGCCCCCCCCCACCCACACTCAATTTGATCAGCCTTTTCTTAATCTGCTTGAATCCATGCCAGAAGATTATGTACCGTCAATACCTACATTCATTTTGTTAATTTGAAAACCCAACTCCTTTTAACATTTAAATGTGAACCAGTGCATGCCAGGATATATGGGTACATCATAAACGCTTCATACAAACAAGATGGTTCCCTCAAAGCCAAAAAATATTAATTTGTCTTATCAGTAATGTGAACCAACTTTATTCTGGCTCTAGGCCCAATGATCTAAATCTAAATGCCACAATTTGTTATCCTGATTTAAAATATAAATATTTTTCTGCTCGGTAAAATGTACTTAAGCAGACTATCCTAAAATATATTTGAATGAATCATTTTTCAAGAATCTGAACAGTTACTTATTCATATGTTCAGAAATAAAATTGTAGAATTTAAAAGTATCAGAAATGAAATGAAATGAAATGGGGTTTAACGACCTACTGTTCTGCTCCGACTGGACTAATGAAGACAGGCATATGCCATACAGTGTGCTATGAGGGGAATTTTGCCCGGGCAGCTGCACTATGGCCTACTCTTATATTGAATTCCAACTGCCAAGGGATCTTTTACATACATGCCAATGTATACACAGGACCTCGGTTTTTCGTCCCATCCAAACGACTAGGCAGGTGTCCTTGTCAGACCCTCCGTCCTGCACCACTTTCTCGGCCAATGTAGGGATCGAACACGCTACCTCTAGACTAGCGAGCCAGCCTCTCAGCCAGAAGATTTTAGATTGAATATGGGTCAAGACTGAAAAAGTTCTCTCATCCCAAACCAATGTTTGAGAGAGAGAGAGAGAAAAAAAAAGAGTAAGTCTTTAATATATTTGGAGAGAGAGAGAGATAAATGGGGTTTACCATCCACTCGACACAAACTAGGTCATTTCGGGACTAGAATATGGTTCAATTTTATTTCAATAATTCGCTTGTGCGTAGGGGACTTTAGCAGTGGGAGGAAACAGGAGGACCCGGAGAAAACAAACATTATCTCTCTCTATTTCGGTCATTAGATTCGAAGATTTTTAATTACTACAATCTTACATTGGTCTGTCTGATATGATCCCAGGGTCAGAACTATTATTAATGTGTTAGTAAGAACTACCGATATTTGACCTGTAACCTTTCTGTGGAACCCGCCTGCAAGTCTGGAATTTTCAAGAGTTACTGGGCCAGAAATAGAATTCAGGCTAGCAGCAGGCTGGCAGGTGTTTCCACACACACAATGATATCTGAAAGTTCAGGTATTGCTTTGATAGGTGTACCATCATCAAATCCGCAGAGCCCACAGGGACTTGTTCAACATGTTCATGGTTCCATTTGTATTGCTCATGTTGCTATTTATATCCGGTAGGAACACGATTAAGGGTTTATTTATATCAGAGAGAGAGAGAGAGCGAGAGAGAGAAAGAGAGAGAGAGAGGGAGGAAGGATTGAACGTCCACTCGACACAAACTAGGTCATTTCGGGACTAACATATGGCTTTGGGAAGGGTTTAACATCCACTTGACACAAACTAGATAGATTCAATTTTATTTCAATAATTCGCTTGCGCATAGGTGTCTCTAGCAGTGAGAGGAAACCGGAGGACCCGGAGAAAACCCACGAGGTTGGACAGACGACCCTACTCCTTGTTACGTAAAACCGGGGCTTCGAAACCACGCCAGTTGACTCAATGACAGGCTTTATGATACAGCACACACGTGCTAACCATTCGACCATCCAACCTCCCTTATTTATATCAATTAAAGGCTTATTGCTTGATTCTTTCCGGTTATTTATAGACCTGAATAGCAGGAATTTAATTTGACAGACACCCATCTAAAGTCAAATTATGTCTGGAACTTACTAATTAAGTTACGGCTGAATCTTAAAACTATTCTATATGTATATGTATTGTTTAACAGACTGAAATGTGTCTAATTTCAGTGGCTATATATTCTATCAACTACCTCAACAAGACAGGAATACGAAGAACTACCTCAACGAGACAGTCAATGTATTACGTATTCTAAGTGTGGAACACAAAACACACCAAATAATAGTTCTAATATCGCTGACCAATAACTTGACCAAACTATGGTGGCGAGTGAGATTATCTCAGGTTTATGTATTGTCAACAAGCTTTTTAACATTCTGTTCTTAAACTTCTACCTGAACAAGACAGGAATATGAAGAACTACCTCAACGAGACAGGAATACGAAGAACTAAAGAACTTACCAGTTTTATCAGTAGTAACATCCGGTGGTTTTGTAGAAATGACAAGTTTTGATAATCCCCGAGGCAGAAGACGTAATATCTGTTGTACTCTATTATCTGATTGGCCGGTTAAAACTGTTGAATTAATGGACAGAACATAATCACCAACTCTACAATAAAAAATAAGTAAAATAAAATAAAATGAAATGGGGTTTGAATTAACGTCCTACTGTTCTGCACCGACTGGTCTAATTCTTTGAGGGAAATTTTGCCCAGATAGCAGTGCTATGGCCTACTATTAGTCTTCCAACTGCCAAGAAATCTTAACGTGCACGCCAATGTGTACACAGGACCTCATTTTTCATCCCATCCAAATGACTAATACAAAATAAACATGATTTATTAAAATTTGATTTAATTCAGCTATTTCATTCAAATATCTAAAGTAGATGTTTATGGATCCAGCTTACGATTTTCTCTGGTTATGTGTGCAATACACGGAAAAATAATTTTGCCCAAACACCTACTCTTCGCCAAATGTCAACTGGAAATGAAATGGGGTTTAATATAATGTCCTACTGTTCTTCTCTGACTGGGATAATGAAGTCAGGCATATGCCATACAGTGGAAATTTTGTCTGGACAGTATGTACACAGGCCCTTGGGTTTCGTATCATACGAACAGCTAGACAGCTATCCTTGTCAGGCCCTCCATTCTGCACCAATGACAAGGGAAACCATGCCGGAAAATCCCAATGAACTTTCTCAGCCAATACTGGGAGCGAACCTGCGACCTCCAGACTGGCGAGCCAGTGTCTTACACATCACTTAGCCACCATGGCTCCCTCAACTGCAAAGGGATCTGTCTTGTGCAAATATTCAAACTGTATCAATCCCTTATTATCCCCTATTGAAATATATATATATATCTAGACAAATTAACCTTGTTTCAGAGATAAATGACAATCAGGCTTAGAACTAAAGGTTCGTAATCGGCTTCTTGACAAAATTCAGACAAAATCGAAGTTCTGTAATCTATCAGGAATAAATCTTCCTCTCTTTCTTGTTCTAACTGACATTTTTAGTGAATGTTTGGTACAAATATCGTACGCAACATTATACAGTATAAATCCCTGATTTATAAATTCATCCGCTGAAGAATGTCGTTTTTCTGGGCTAGATGAACGAATCTCATTTATATTAAATAGCTCTATAATTGTTGTTGGATATTTAAAGTGTTTAAAGGGACAATAACACTCTTGCTGGCTTGACAGCTCCAGAAAATAAAAAATAGCCTTATTCTAAGTACTAGATGTGTTAGTGTCCTACCTGTTGTGTACATTATCCATTACATCCTATTTTGTTGAATTTTTCCAATTTTTTAAATTAGGTGTGTTAAGATGAAATTTGTATCATCAATTAATCATCAATATTGTTAAATAGTACAATTTGTTGACCAGAATAAAGATTGGGACATATTATTCAGTTACAACTAGAGTGGTATTGAGCCTTTAAATCATTTCTTGTATTACCGTATTGATTATTGAGTTAAAACATCTGCCGATTTTAAACAGTCGCGATTATAATTAAATCGAGGGGTCACACACATGTACAATATAATCATTATACTTGTAACTTATTAATTACGGATATAAAATGGACAAAAGAATTCAATAGAACGACAAGAATTGATCCACAGGGTAATAAAATGAATCATGCGATAATTTCAACCATGTTGTGTCATTCACCATAGTTACGCCATACCAGGTTTGGAAATAACGGTTTTAGTTTTATTTGACAGTTTGCTATGAGAGAAATTTTGCCTGGAAAGCGGCGCTACGGTCTTCTCTTATATCGAATTTTAACTGCCAAGGGATCTTTTACATGCAATGTGTACACGGGATCTCAGGTTTTCTTCCCATCCGAATGACTAGACAGCTCTCCTTGACAGACCTTTTATCCTGCACCACTGATGGGTTTTAACTCCACTCGACACAAACTAGGTCATTTCGGGACTAACACATGGTTCAATTTTATTTCAATTATTCACGTGTGCGTAGGGGTCTTTAGCAGTGGGAGCAAACCGGAGAACTCGGATAAAAGCCACGAGGTTGGACAGGCGATCCTACTCCTTGTCACGTATAACTAGGGAATCAAAACTATGCCAGTTGATTAAAAGACAGACCTTATGATACAGCGCGCACGTATCGGCCATCCAACCCCTACTATTTTACGGACATTACTCAGCTAAAAATACAATACTGTATCTATGCATAATGATAACAATATGAAATTATATTGCACTATAATCCATGTCTGACATATTTTTTTTTCTCTGAACTTCATGCTGTATCTATACGTATAATGATAATAATATGAAATTCATATTGCACTATCATCAATGTCTGACGTATTCTAAGCACAGACCACAAAACACACTAAATAATAGTCTTAATATCGCTGACCAATAACTTGACCAAACCCTGGTGGCAAGTGAGATCATCTCGTGTACATGTATTGTCAACAAGCCTTTTAACATTCAGTTCTTAAACTTTCTACTTCTGCCAATAATAATATTGTCACAATGACAAAAATTGACAATAATTTCAACATCCCTCTATTATTAACACAAAATATTCCTGTAATAAATACATCAAATATTTATCCAACCTAAATTGTCAATTGTTCGTAAGTACCGGTATCCACGGATCAATTTCTTCAACAACTCATCTTTAACCCAGTAATTCTTGTATAAATATAATCCACAGTTTTAACAGTCAACAGATACAAATCATACTACATCTATGATTCGGTTATAAAGTGTCCAGAGAGAGAGAAATGGGGTTTAACATCCACTCGATATAAACTAGGTCATTTCGGAACTAACATATGGTTCAATTGTTTTCATTAGTTCGCTTGGACATAGGGATCGTTAGCAGAGGGAGGAAACCAGAGGACCGGGAGAAAAGCCAAGATGTTAGACAGGCGACCCTACTGCTTGTCACGTACAACCGGGAAATCAAAACCACACCAGTTGACTCAATGACAGACCTAATGATGCAACACACACACGTTAACCAATCATCCACACCACGCCCTTCCCCTCACCTCGTAAAAAAAAGTGATTGCAGTCTATGTGTCGATTGGTTTCGAAAGATCATTATTTTTTCTACTTCCTAATCAAAATGACCAATTAAATATCTGTAGTTTATAAATGTATTTACATAAATTTTAGAATTTTTGGCCATTTGCCGAAATTTCCAATTCATTATATTTTTGAAAATACTGAACGGAATCAACCCATTTCTTTATTTTAGTTTTAGAGATTCGACTTTCATAATATTGTAAATAGCAAGAGATTGAAATGTGTTTAAAAAATGATCAGTGATTTTAAACATCATTAACAGAATATCTTATAACAAGCAGGCAAATTTCAACAGACTTATTCAACATAGGTTTGTCAATATGAAAATGAGGGTTTTTTTTTAAATTAAAAATAGTATCAGAATCATTTGTTACATTTTAATAAAAAGGAAACATTTTGAAAAAACCTTAAAAAGCTATCATGACATAATTCAAGTAGGAATTATATATTCCTCCTACATCCAAATTTTAAACTTGATAATCCATGGTCAAGTCAGATTTCACAAAACTCATGAGAAACACATACACTGATCTCCTCAATGAAAACTGACATATATTAACACAACTCACTTGATGATCCTCAACTCAGTTCTACTAACAACTTTATAAAAACAGTTCACCTTAAAGGTACATTATGTAAGAGAGTGAGAGAAATGAAATGAAATGGGGTTTAACGTCCTACTGTTTTGCTCCGAACTGGGCTAATGAAGATGGGCATACGCCATACAGTGTGCTATGAGGGAAATTTTGCCCGGACAGCGGCACTACGGCCTACTCTTATATCGAATTCCAACTGTCAAGGGATCTTTTATGTGCACGCCAATGAGTACACGGGACCTCGGTTTTTCGTCCCATCCGAACGACTAGACAGCTGTCCTTGTCAGCCCAGAGAGAGAGAGAGAGGGAGGGACTATAACAGACCAAACTACACCACACCAAAGTTCCTGTATAGATTACACCGTCTGCTGATCAGTCCTCCTTTTCCTCCCACTGCTAAAGACCCCTACGCGCAAGCGAATTATTGAAATAAAATTGAACCATGTGTTAGTCCCGAAATGACCTAGTTTGTGTCGAGTGGATGTTAAACCCCATTTCTCTCTCTCTCTCTGTGCTATGAGGGAGTGTTTTGCCCTGCCGGCTGGACTATGGCCTACTTTTATTTTGGTTTCTATCTGCAAGCACGTTATTGAAATAAATATATATCATATGTTAGTCCCGAAATGGCCAGGTTGTGTAAAGTAGATCTATACATTCCTAAAAAAAATATCTACCATTACATTGCTAGGAAACTTCTAGAAAGAATGACACCAACAGTCTGGCAGACAGCATCAGTCACCATTAGTCGAACCTGATACTCATTTCTCGCATTTAATTATATCATATTACAAGAACCTGGTTATACCGACTTAATTATCATTATACCAAGACTTCTCTCCTTTTTAATGAATTATAACACTTTCCTCCCAGAGAGAGAGAGAGAGAAAGAGAGAGAGAGAGTTTTATTCACTGGACACAAACTAGGTCATTTTGGGACTAAATATATGGTTCAATTTTATTTCAATAATTCGCTTGCACGTAGGGATCTTTATCTTTAGCAGTGGGAGGAAACCGGATGGCCCGGAGAAAATCAAAAAAGTTAGGCAGGCAACCCTACTCCTTGTCAGGTACAAGAATGGGATTGAAACCATGGCACTTGAATCAAAGACAGACTTTATGATTTAAAGATCTAAACCACCCTATCCCCATCATGCGGGTGGATGGGGAATGGTTAGCGCGTATCATAAGATCTGTCATTGAGTCAAGTGCCATACACGGTTTCAATCCCACCGTGCTTTTAATAACTCATAAAACATCCATCTACATCATAGACTTCATAATAACTCATAGATGATCCATCTATATCATTACAGACTTCACAATAACTCATAGAACATCCATCTATATTATAGACTACATAATAACTCATAGAACATCCATCTATATTATAGACTTCATAATAACTCATAGAACATCCATCTATATTATAG